AGACTGTGTAGCCAAATATGGCTGTTGCTGTGGTGATAAATTATTTGTAAAATCAATAAAAGGACGAATAGCTAGAGACAAGGTTTCATTTGTAAGAGGACGAATAGCTGGAGACGAGGTTTCATTTGTAAGAGGACGAATAGCTGGAGAAAAAGTTTCGGGGACCAAAGTTTCAGATGATAAAGGTTTGGGTGCTAAAGTTTTAGTTACTAATTTAGTAGCTGCCTTTTTTGGTTTTTTTTTGGTTTTTTTTGGAGACATAATGTTAATTGATACGTAGAAGAATGAAAAGAGATAGCTCAAGCATTGATCATCATCATTGTATTAATTGATAGTAGTGCTTGAGCGTCATCTCAATCATTAGCCAATTACATTGATTGTGGTGCTTGAGAACGGCCTTAACATACGTTAATTGGTGTTCTACCATTTTTTAATCAATAAAATTGGCTACAGGATAAATGCAAATTTTTTATATGATAAAACATAATTAATAATCGTAAATCTTTCAAAAGTCAAAATTTATTAAGCTAGTCAATATTTATGTCTTAAGTAAAGCTTCAAAATAACAAATTGCATATACTACAAAAGTTTTATGTAGTGATACGGGCCGATGCTAAAACCCTGGGCCGGCCGACCCGGCCGACCTTGACTAAGGATATTCAATTCTGTTTCAGTTATATCTTGATTGAATATATTAAATGAAAAAATTGCATTGAATAAAAGTCCTGTATCGAATAAAAAAACAATAATAATTAATTTATTAATAAATTATCATTAATATTAGATGTCAGTAAGTTAATTATAAAAAAAAAAAAAATCATCGCACAATAACAAAACGATGACGAGAAAGAAAATATTATTTGAGTCTTTGCCATGAAAATCGCGATATGGAACATATGATTTAATATGTCCCATAACGTGATTTTCAACATTTGTTTATATTATAACCGTTTTTCATTCATATCTCCATGGGAAATCAGGAATTCAAAATAATTAAGGAAACGGATTTCTTATGTTTACTATTCAACCTCCTGATTCTATGGGTGTATGGAAATCATCGTTACGTTTGATAAGATATAAAATAAACTGTTTCCCGCACCGAACATAAATTAAAAAACCCCCTAGGGGTTGGACCCGGGTAGAAATTGTGCTATATGATATATAATGATTTACCCGGATAACCCGGGTAATTTAATAATACCCGGGTAGAGATTTTCTCAACGGGTCCAACCTCTACAACAAAATCACGCATAACCGCATTTATAATCACAGATCACCAATCAGCATCACGTAATCCCGATAGAACCTGATTTGAAACAGATATTTGGCGCGGGACTACATGGTGCCTGATTTGCCTTCATTCGACCTGTGCTAATAATCCAATTCATGTAGAACTAAATCCGCGTTGGCGATCCTCATGTGATCTGCATAGCCTTGTATGTGATTTTGGCCAATCAATAAATTATTTTCCGCTAATTAAAAATTGTGCCGACATTATTTAATACAATAATCATTAATTTAAGTACACTCTAAATGGATCTATATGCAAAAAAATTTATTGGATTTAGAGGTAAAAATCTATAAGCATTATATTAGTTGGGCAAGCGAAACGTGCATTTAGGGGTTGCATTGAATATGCTGTGCAAAAAAAATTTTTATACAGGAATGTTATTTTATTTTTTAATTTTCGTGCAAAAAAAAACAATACATGCACAACGAATTTTCAACACTGTCTGACTGTACGAATACGCCTGCTGATTTAACAAAAATAATTATTAAAATATCGTAAAAGGGTCTATTTTGTTATGGCGAAGCGCTTGAGGATTTAACAACGTCGCTATAAGTTGAATCTGATAATAAATTTTCACTAAGATATCGTATAGTGGTCATACTCGGTTAACTTTCACCCGAAAGATTATACCTTTAATAAAATCCAATAACCGGTTTCGTACCCTATCGACATAAGAGGGTAATGGTCCGGATATAACCTCTATAAAAATGCGCTGTCATGTAATTTTTTATTAGAATCTAATTCGGGACATTTGCTCAAGCTCATAAGGAGAATTTCATAATTAGCGGTGGAGTGATTGTCGGTGAAGAAATCTTCACATTTGTTTAGCATGTTAAATAATTGCATTTTTTTCTATTCGAAGATGATTCTCATCTGCTTTATCTTGTTTTATAATTAAATAGATCTGATATACTGTAAATATCATATGAATGGAATGGGAGATTGTATCCGTCTACCCGGATATTATTAAATTATCCGGTTATCCGGGTAATTAATTATAGCCATACAGTAATAAAAATGCCTACCCTGGTACAATCTTTAATATAAGGTTTGTATGATTGAAGTCTTATTTTTCTTTGGTGGAATATCTTAATATTCATCCGTTAACCAATTTTATAATCCGGTTATCCGGGTAACCGGTTATCATATTTTAAGGTACGACCACTACTAATACTGTAATATCCTAAGGAACTTATTTATATTAAAAATTCGACATTTATATACTGCTTAATTATCATCGTCAACATTTACTAAAAAGCCTGTCCCTCTTATAAATACGATGATCTGAATATCAAAAAACGTGTAAAATTGTATATTTTACGACAGCAAAAATTTGAATTTATATAAATATTTTTATATAGTATATATATACAAGTAAATCACACTTTTTTCAAAGCCAAGAAATTAAAACTGTTCATACATATAATAGGGAAAAAAAATTCGGGAAATTCAAATTTAATTTATATAATGGGGAAAAAATATAATTCGAGAATTTCAAATTTAATTTATTACGCTTTACAAACAATATATTTTACCATTTACGTTTAAAGAAATTTTATAACTTAAAAGCGTAATAATTTTTCTCTACTGGATGAACGTATGCAATCTTTGATAAAAAAAGTTAGTGCATTCATATGGTGGCATGATTATTTGTGTTTCAATTAAAACTAAAGCCTTTTTTGTATCCAACCTTTGTGCTACATCACTCGCGTATTTCTTTATATATACATGCATTAAAAACAAAAACTCATCAACATAGTGAATCGTTTGTCAGTTTCCAAATTTTTCGAAATGAAAAGACAGAGATTGTCACATGTAGACACGTTTATTTGACGTTGCGGTATATTTGAATGATGTATCATATGAAGAAAAGAAGAAAAGAAGAACTTAAGAACGTTATTTTAATTCTTGGCAATTTGCAGCCTAAGAATAGCGTTTTACAAGAAGAAATGTAACGTTACACTGGAATAAATTGAAAATCTGATAAATAATGATGTGAAAAGAGTTATTCAATAATTCATTTCCTTCTTTATTTCGATTGTCTTTATATCGATATAATAGAAAAATAGAAATGATACTATGGTATTCTTTACATTTTCGTACCTTATTAATAAGAACTATTATAATTGTTTCAATATTCACGTCTTTATATATTCTCAATGTATCGATATTACTTGAATCTCCGAACACCAATCTGAATGACATAGCTTCGCAATCCAATGAAAAAGGTACTACAGTTACTCACGTTAATCTAAAACTCACACATACTATCGATGATAATGTTAATACCACACTTCAACAAGTTAATGACACTCAAATTGATAATACGGAATTTAATGACGCGAAAACTGATGATAAAGTAGATAATGTTCAAGTAGATAATACTCAAGTAAATGATACTCAGCCTGATACTCAGCTTGATACTCAGCTTGATACTCAACTTGATACTCAGATCACGACTCATGATAAGCAAGTTGATAATACTCAACTTAAAGACACGCAAGATACACAGGTTGATGATACTCAACTTAAAGATACGCAGGTTGATGATACTCAGCTTAATAATACGCTGACGCAGACTGATATTCAACTTAATGATAAGAAGGCTGATGATACTCAATATAATGATGATACGAAGGTTGATAAGCAATTTAATATTACTCAAGTTGATGAAATTCAATTAAATAATACGCAAGTTAACAACACACTAGATGTCACATTTACGCAATCTGATACACGACTTAATGCAGTGATAATCGTTCTTGTTCGAAACTCTGAATTACACCAATTACGAAAAACGATGAGATCTTTTGAAGATAGGTGGAATAAAAAGTATAATTATCCTTATGTGTTTCTTAATGATCAAGAGTTTACTCAAGAATTTAAAACTATGACAGCAGCTCTTACAAGTGCTGAAACATTTTATGGTTAGTATAAGCATTTCCCCCTGGCTTACTATACCAGTGTTGTTGCATCAAAGATTACTATATCGAAGAGTCAATAGAAAACAGGCAAATCACACAGGGCGAATGAAGGAACCTCGATATTAACCTGATCTAGGCCCTATGAGAAAAGTGGTCCGGTTTGTGGCTCGAGTTGGTTTCGGGAATGCACGAAATGGTACGGGTGTGTGGCACGTAGTGGCTCAATTTACGTGATGGTACGGCTAAAAATGGCACGGACATTACGACAAAGTGGTCGTATTGAATGATACGTATATGCACGT